CTCCCTAAGGCAGAGGGCGGCGTTGCTCACTCGGACATCGTATGTGGTCCGTGTGCCGCCTTGCGGAGTGAAAGGCCGGCCACGTTGGCCATGGCAGGGTTTTCGCTCAGCTACGAGGAGCGTCTTCTGGACCCGGAGGAAGAGGAGGGCGATGATGCGTGGACCCGCCTCAAGGGTAGCTCGAGCCAAGGAGCTTGCTCTTAAGAGGTCTATGGGTTACGAGAAGCCTTTCTTGTTGCAGGGACTATTTCACCGAGCCGGTGAGAGGCCCAACTGGGTTAAGGNNGGTGCCGATGCACCGAGTGACGGTCCACTGGAGCTTCCTTTCAGACCTGGCGAGGGTAGAGGTCCGGAGCAGTTGCTCCGAGATCAGATGGATGACCACGACACGTGGGAAATTCTGAACTACCTTCGTAAGGGTGAAGCAGGAGCTGAGAAGGTTTCGGCGCGGGATGAAATCCGGCTGCGTACGGCCGCAGCCAAGCACACGCTGAGCCCGCAAGGGTTCTTGTGTCGGAAAGTACATCTTCCGCTGAAAACGGCGGAGGTGCCAGTCCTTCCTTCGACGGGGGGGTGGAGGCAGTGGGCTTTTGAGTGGGCTCATGACTCGCCTCTGGCCGGGCACCTCAACGCCGCGAAAACTTTCGATAAGCTTCGCAGGTGCGTGATTTGGGACAGGATGTTGCCCGACTGCGAATTCTGGGTAGAATCGTGCGACCGGTGCGCGCAGCACCGAAGGTCAGGAATGCCGCTACCCATGGATCCGAAACTCGAGCAACGCACCCTTGGCCCTTGGATGGATGTGTACGTGGACTTCACAGGCCCGTATACGGAGTCCGATGGCTACCGCTACGTGTGCACTTACACGTGCAAGCTGTTCCGGGTACCCATACTCGAGCCGCGCAGGTCCCTCAAGCGAGGTGACGCCATGCAAGCGGTCATGACGTGCATGCTGCGGAGTCTTACGATTCCCGCGGCCTGGCGGCACGATTTGGGCCCAGAGTTTACCAACGCCCTCTTCGAGGAGATGACCGCGCTTTTGGAAAACCAGGAGAGGATCCCGCCGGCTCATAGGCCTATGGCGGTGGGCATGGGGGAGACAGTCCATCGTTCGATGAACTCCCTCATAGCGTTGCTTTTGCAAGACGCTCACTAGGCTTGTGCCTGGGAGTGGGCTCGTGTGCTCCCTGTGGTGCACTACATCATGATGAACACTCCGATCCTGGAGAGTGGATTGGTTCCAAGAGACTTGGACAAGGCGTGGTCTTTGCGTGACCACGTGGAACGAGAGCTTGTTCCGTTCCGGGCCCCGCTGAGACAGTGTCCTACAAGAGCCTCTTCAGAGAGGTGTCCTTGGGGCCGAACGGCACTCTTCGCTACGCGGACCTTTCTGCGGTTGAGCATGGAGGCTATTCTTTGGGCGCCTCGCCCATAGTGGTGCCTCAGGAGGTCATCGACCCGGATGCTGACGGGTCTGAGCCGGTGCTCGACCAAGACAGCACCTTGGCCGCTTCCGATGGAGCGTGGGCGCCCCCGGTGTCCAAGGTGCCGTACGTTCCTCGCTGGACATCAACCCATGCGCCTAGCGAGGCAGCAGCTGCGAAGTGGCAGTCACTTGCCCAAAAGCGGCAGTTTACCGAGGTCCATATGCCTGACGGGTGTTTCGTCCCGATGGAGGGACAACCTTCTGGCAACGTGCGCCGTAGCCCCGACTACGCGACTAAGTGTGCCGAAGGGATGAAGCTCCCGCCGACTCCCGCCTCCGGGCTCTAAAGTCACGGAGGAGCATCGGGCTGAGTATCCCGACCTTCGCGATGAGGAGATCCGCGCTATCGGGCGCGTGATTTT